GTCGCTGTTTCGTTCTTTTTTTCAGTTTTTGTCTTTCTCCTTTCTTTTTATCCGTACGCGTGATCATGATGCACGTATTGTTTGGACGCACGCACCGCCGTTCACGCAACACGCTCATACGACGATTCACCGTTAGACGTTGCTGATAGGGCGGTGAGCGGGTCTCGTGCAATGCCGAAATTCGGGTCACGAAATATTTCACGATAACGCCGTTAGAGGGCCTATAGCACGAACTATACAGTCTGATAAACCAGATATATCTGACAAAAGTGACACTCATATTTTTTCGTTTTTTTCACCGAATTGAATGGGTTCATACCAACATAGATATTTCAGGGTAGATTTGAAATTATTGGCATTTATACAGATCGAGGCTGAGATTTTTAGACGTGAAATTACGATGAAAGAAACTTGATGATCCCCTGTGTAATTGTAACAGTGTTGTTTAGGAGTTTGCCTTTTCGATAGTATCAAGATTCCTGCAATTCGTATTGTATCTGATTACACAGATCTTGTTAAATCATGTTGGATAAAATAGGTAGTGGAGCGAAAATTTTAAAAATCTTCAGAGTACTTGAATTATACACGTATTTCTCATTCTTAAATATTTCCTTTGACCTCTTCGCGTTATTACAGTATCCGCTTAAGAAATTTACAACAAGGTATATGTTCCTAATTATTTCGACTATTCACAAAGAATCTTGGTTGGTAATTCTGGAAACACCAGAGTTAAATCGGAGCTTTTACGTCTGCCTTTGTACAAGAAAACGTTTACACGAGCAAATCCGCGACGCAGCGAGGAACAGCTTTAATTTTTGTCATTCGCCAGCTAAGACGGCTGTGATAAAACGAGAACGGTATGTCCCGACCCTTCTGCGAGCTTTATTACTATGCTTCTCGCTCTGACAAGTAGAAATAAAACAACGGACTGCCGCGCTAGCCTCCTGACGCTACCCTCCTACGCACAATGAGTAACCCTATCTTCACTGAAATATCCTCAACCCCTCATTCCCGTCCGTTTCTCGGACTGCTTTGCTGTCCTTCCCTCAATGTCCTCTCCCTTCCTGCGTCTGTCTCTTTTACACTTGTTCCTCTTCGTTCCTGACCCACGATTTCTACCTCATATGCAGATGAACGCGCAGTGACATCGGTCGTACCGCTGACAAAATTTTTTTGTCCATTGAAAACCTTTTTTCCCTAACCGGGGACCATGCAAATTTCCCATGAAATTTTTTTCTACCTTTTTTCCTACGTAATCACTTCAGTTGTTCCGTGTGTGAGTTTTTAAAATTTTCGAAACCGAAATTTTGTAATTGTTCTAAATTTTTTAAATATCGCAATGTTTCTACCTTTTTTTTTTTTATCAGCGGCTCGATAAAATCTATTAGTATCGATCAGCTAAAATTTTAACACGAACTATCTACTATTCTACTTTTCAAACGTTCCAATGTTTTTTCTCTCTCTTTTTTTCACGCAATCACTTCAGCTGCTTTCTGCATGAATTTTTAAAATTCTACAGCTTCTCAAAATTTTAATATGAACTATCTATTCTACTTTTTCTTTTGATCAACGACCCGATAAAATTGACCAGTATTAATCAGCCAAAATTTTAAATATCTACTATTCTACTTTTAAATGTTCCAATGTTTCCTCTCTCCCTTTTTTTTCACGCAATAACTTCAGCTGCTTTCTGCATGAATTTTTAAAATTCTACAGCTTCTCAAAATTTTAATATGAACTATCTATTCTACTTTTCAAACGTTCCAATGTTTTTTCTCTCTCTTTTTTTCACGCAATCACTTCAGCTGTTTTCTGTATGAATTTTTAAAATTTTACAGCTTTTCAAAATTTTAATATGAACTATCTATTGTTCTACTTTTTCTTTTGATCAACGACCCGATAAAATTGACCAGTATTAATCAGCCAAAATTTTAAATATCTACTATTCTACTTTTAAATGTTCCAATGTTTCCTCTCTCCCTTTTTTTTCACGCAATAACTTCAGCTGTTTTCTGCATGAATTTTTAAAATTCTACAGCTTCTCAAAATTTTAATATGAACTATCTATTCTACTTTTCAAACGTTCCAATATTTTTTCTCTCTCTTTTTTTCACGCAATCACTTCAGCTGTTTTCTGTACGAAGTTTTAAAATTCTACAGCTTTTCAAAATTTTAACACGAAATATCTACTATTCTACTTTTTTTAAATGTTCTAAAACTGTTTCTACTTTTTCTTTTTATCAACGGCCCGATAAAACCTACCAGCGTTAATCAAACCTAAAATCATTCGCGAGTCAGGCAAAATTTACATATATGCGGTGTTTCCATGAATCAAACGCGTGCGGCATTGCGCGAGTTTCGATTAGTAGCCACTAGATAGCGACGGCTATTCGCGCGCGCCACACTCGTATATTTTTGGGCCGCGTGGTGGGAGTAGAATTGGGCGACAGCCAGGCGTGGGTGCAAATTTACTGCAGCGCCCGCGATTCCGTAATGTCGGTCGAATTCGACGTATTTCATGCAACTAGCCGCTACGCTCAAAAACAGAGAGAGAGAGAGAGAGAGAGAGAGAGAGAGAGGCACGAGCAGCTTGAAAATTATTCTAACAGAATGCGTTATCTCGTTTCGTGAGGGACCAATTTATTAATTACACGCTACATACAATACGTTTTGCGCGTTGAGCCACGATAATCGAGAATCACCAACGCGATTTCGATTCCTCGACGATACATCATCGTCTTTGTATTATGATTTGCGCTGGTTTACCCTGCTCCTTTTTTTTTTTCACCGTAGGTTTCTTTCTATTTTTATTTTTATCGTCTGCCGTGTTTACAGTGTCACTAAGTTGCCGTTCTTTTTTCTTTTTTCTTTTCTTTTTTTCTTTTTTCACCTTTACAGCGGCCGATGACTAATTTTGGTGCCTCCTCGCGCTTGTACGCGCAGACAGTTTTGCTTGCGGAACGATTAAATCTTCGATTGCATATTTTTAGCGAGCTTTGGATTTGAGGACACGTGTAACTCGGATGCGTTTCGCTCGTTTGCTTCGAGTGGAAACGGTTCCGCAAGGGAATTGATTGAATTACGCGTAAAGGGGCTCGTGTAACTTATGTCGGTCCTCGAATCCACGTTCTCCAGGAAATTGAGTGACCCTGTAATTTTGTACCCGGTTAGTAAAAATTTCAATGGGTATTCCCGACTCGCGGAATAGTTGCTGGGCGTTACCAACACGAATTTTTCTTTGCGATCTCGTTCGAATTTTAATTTACTACTTCAATGACTGTCCGCGTTGAGATTCAGAAATTATTCACAATCATACACGTCCCTTTCAAATTAACTACATTAACAGAATGAAGTGTACGGAATTATATTTTTACTGCACAATTTTCTGAATTCTAAGACTTCGCCATTTCGAGCGATATATCTCAATCACACTAGAACAGCCAAACCAGTCGAAATGATCGAAACAAATTTTCTAGATCAGATGATCTTAGATACTTCCTCAAGAACAGTTCCGCATGCTTGTTTAACTTGCGCGTAATCAAAATAATTTCGTCGACAAAATTCAACATAGAACAGGCAAAATTTTGTCTCAATCAATCAGTCACTCGGACGGGAATAATTTTCTAAATTTACAGGGGAGTGGAGAGGAGGGGAGACGGTGTGTTCTAGAATTTAGACGAGCGGTTCAGATCGTGGAATGCATTCTGGAGGCGCGTAACGGGGCACCGAAATTCGTAGCGCCGAGCCTACCGCGGCACGCACCAATCAATAAAACGAATGCGTGCGTGCACGGACAGGGGCGATCGCGCGTGTGTGCAACTGCCTGGCTGCCTCTGTGTGAGTGCACGTGCCGCCAAAAGTTCGTGAACGCGCAAGGTTTGCGTGCTCGCCGGCCGTTTGTGTGCACAACTACGCGGCAAGGACCGAGCGTATATACGCCGCGCGTGCACGTATATACAAGCCTTTGACGAGTTCGTGCCTCGCACCGCAACTCGTATATTTTTCTTTTTTCTCTTTTTTCCCTTCTTTTCTCTCTTTGCTGGACAGAGAGACCACAGATTGCAATAGAGAAGAGGCTAATGAATTTTGCAGGTTTTGCCACGGTGCAAGGTTACTCGCGAATGTTGTAGCGGCGAGAGGATTGAGCGGATGAATTATCGTAGTTTCGGTGTGTTATCGACGAGTTTAGATATATTAGCGAACGGATGTTTTTTCTCTTTGATATTTCGTGTTTTATGGAGTACGAGTCACATGTATAAAAGATTACCTGCTTTTTGAAAAATATCTTTAAGGCGGTAAATCCTCTGTAGGGTTAATTTCTCTCACTTCCTCCGCGGATGATCTAATTTAAGCGCAAACGGTTAATAAAACATTGAAGCGCAATCTTGTTTTCGACTGAAGTCACTTATCTATGTTATTACGTGACGATTACGGGGATGATTAACATTGTGTTGACGCGTTTAACGAATTATCGCTCGCTGAATTCGAACAATTTGCGGCTGATATTAATCGTAAATACACGTGCAGTGTTAGTTGCTCGCAGTGTAAGAAAAATTTTTAGAATAATTGATTTCAGATACAGAGGTACGACTATACCCGACTAATTGATTAAACGTATACGATTAAACGTATTCCCTATCGTTTCATCGACACAGCTCTTTGAATTTAATTATCTTATGACAACAAAGCACCAGGTCCTCCAGTACGCCGTACTCATCTTTACTTATTGGGTACATACAAATCCCCAAAACTTGGCGATAACGATCATCCCGCGTACATACATACGTGCATTATCAAACGATATCTGATTTATCGTACAATTCCTCTCTGAAATTCTGAAAAGATAGTCTCTTTTCCTCGAACCGATATCGTCTTTTTATTCATCGCGTAATAATAAATTTTTTATACATACCTCGAATCAAAAAGAAAAGAAAAAGAAAAAGTTTTCGTATCTTTCCTTTCTTTCTGCGCGTGTAATAATGAACTCGTTTTTAACTCTCGATTGACGGTAAATAAATTCAAGCCGCCTCGGTAAAGGCGCGGGGCAGGTCGTCTTTAAGCGTCGCCCGTGAAACCGAGAGTGAAGAGTCAAAACACGAGGCGGGAACGCGAGAAATCATGTCACCACGGAAGTGGTCGGGTGCCAGGAGGGAGAGCTCGATAGTTATATTCCGATTCAGCGAGGTCTCGAAAGTGGACCGTTGTGCGGGTTATGGTTTTCTCTTGGTCTCCGGCCGGGCTACACAGGGGGGTTGGCATCCCTTGCAACGACGACGCCGACAGTGGGATCGACCAGGCTTCCACTCTTTCCAAGGAGAAAGAGGAGGGTTGTGTGGCTCGTCCGGGCTCCTTTGATTTCACCTTGCAACGCACTGGTTGCCTGACATTGATTTTCCTTTCCCTCTTACTCGTCGTTCCGCTACTTTCCTCTTCTGCTGCTCCTCCGTTCAACGAAGCTCCTCCGGCGAATACTGATGCCGATCCTGTAACACTGAATGAGAAAATGGCAAATTTCGAAACGTGGAAGAAGGAATGAGGGATCCTCCTTTAATCTACAAAGCTGAAATTAATTTTCATGTCTTTCAATATTTTCCAAATATTCGCTAGTGAAACGACGATATTCATTGTTCATAATTTCTGTGAGAATGTTAGTAAATTACTACCTACTGCATTATGTAATTTGGCACGAGTGCCAAAGGGAGTTTTATCATACACCATCGGTCTGAAAATGTATTAATTTCATTCTTTTCACGCACACACACGCGACTACGGCAGAGTAGTATTATAAATTTCTCCTTATCGAGATTGGAATGACTCCCGGTTCCCTTCTCGTTCGTTCCTTTTATGCGTTGTTCCCGATTCGGTCCCGTACGATCAGCCCAGAAGGCTGTGCCGCCCAGTCGACGACCAATTTGGCGCCACCGAGCAAAATGTGTCAAGGACTGACCGTTCCTACCATCCGCCGAACATCATCTCTTCCTCCGGTTCGATCGCCACGGAATTCTCGCGTGGAGAAACGTTTTCTCGAGCTCCATCGTAGGCATCGCCGAGCTCGAAACTCCCTCGATCGAGCGACTCGCCCAGTGATTCGTAGATTTCCCACGAGACCGAGCGGAGACTCGTTTTATCCGCGACCGCACGTGTGCGCCGCGGAAAGCGCCTCTTTATTTTGGTTTTCGGAAGAGTTATGTCATCGAAACACGAACATAAGCTCTGTAACGTACGAGAAAGAGAGTGGGAGTGTGGGGAAAAAGTATCGAAATCTTCTGAGATCGGTTCTACCTGATTGGTTACTTGCTCGGACGTTTTTAGAATCATGCTGCGTTCTTAATCTTGAAATTAAGTGTTTTCGCTAATGATTTTTGCCTTTCTCGGATTTTATTAATACGTGAAGTTTATCAGTCTATTTAGGATCTTATTTATTATCTAGAAGAGTATTGCACGAGTCAGTCATGAAGCAGAATTTCTGATTCAAAGAGCACGAAACGAACTCTCCTTATAAAGAAAAATGCTCGTTTGCTTCGTACGCGAATGTTTTCGATGTTCCATTTATTTCAACGATATAATTAACTATAGCCATAAAAAATGGCGATGAAACGATGTTACGATTTTATAAGAGAAGCAATATAAATATGCATTAAAAAATCGTTTATGTCTTCCACAAGGTTCATTAATAAGTAAAAGTAAATGCACGTTGTATCGGTTTGCCGACCAGTCTAACGAAGCACGTAACAATGTTTCCCAGTCTGGCATTGTCGAGAATTTGCGTCACTTAATGTTGACTGCGACAATATTTATATCGAGAACAATATCGCCGAAAATAAAACGAACGATAACGAGGCGAGTATCTGATTCATTTCACGCTTAGCTCGTAATCTATCCATTTTCATCGTTTTTACTCGATAGCTGCAACAATAATGCATCTCCCTTTTACTTTCAAAAGTGTCTTTCTTTCTTTAAAATTTATTCCCCAGGCACAATCTTTTTATTACACAAACGAGAGGTTCGATTATTTTCTGTGTATTCGATAGGAACACAATCATGTCACTTCGATGTTCATCAACTTCGCGCGTGGGAAGAAATTAACGGAAACGTCGTTAATTTTCTCCAACAAAGGAATTCACGCGGACCGATGAAACAAAGTTTTTGCCAGATGAACGCGAGATAAAAATTCTGGCGATTGATGATTGACGATATTTCGGCAGTGCGGTGGAACAATCAAGTCAGAGGAAGAAAATCGCGAGTCGCGAGCTGTGGTTAGGGCTGCCTTTAGTTATTTACTTAACAAAGTATTTATAAATTTTTAATAAATTTAAATGGAGTAAAATTTTTAATAAATTTTTAATAAATTTAAAGGGCTGTATCGAAACTTTAGTTTTGTTACTTAACAAAGTATTTATAAATTTTTAATAAATTTAAATTAAAAGTTATAAATTTAAAATTAGAAATAATTCTTCCTCTGATAATATTATTATGAAATAATTGTACAAAAAAAATTTATCTTCATAAAAATAAATTTGATATTAATTTATTATTCAATAAATTACTTATAATTCGAATTGAATAAGAAGTAGTTAATATTGTTCTAAATAATAACTAATAACTATAACTAAAATAATAAATAATAATAATAATTAAACAAAAAATTCTTATTTTTCTAAAAAAGTAAATTTCAGTTATTAAATCTTTTGAATGAAGTCCAACTGTTACTCGTTTAGCTGAAAAGGGAGGAAAAGGGTCAGGCGAACGGTGAACGGATGAGCAAGACCTTGAAGGCCGCTTCGTAACCGAACCTTTCCATTTTCCCCTCCTTGCAGCCTCCGCAAGGACCCGACCGGACTGTTGCGGGATTTCCTCATCTTCCTAGACCCTTGGAGCACGCGCGACCAATCGAAGGTCAAGTCGGGAAGAACCTCGTGTTTTCCTCGTCGATTCTGCTCTCGATGCTCCCAGGGTCCTCTCGGAGCTCGAAGAATCCACGGAAACACGAGCCTCGGCTCTCGTGGCGGAGCCACATGTTCCAACTGTGCTCGTAACTCACGGCGAGTGACGTGGAGATCCGAAGCGAGATTAGGGATTAAAAGATTTCAAGATCGGACGGGAGGACGCGATAACTAAGACTTTTCAAAACGCGTTTCGAAACGGTGTCCGGCGGTTTCTGGAGGAACGATGGAAACGTTTCGTTTCACTTTCATCAAGTCAAAGTTGTTAAATTTTAAATGTGGCAGAATGTGAGTTCACTTTGCCTCTGCTTGATCGTAAATTTCTCGTTACAAGTGAAGCCGCACTGAAACTGTGTACAATTATAAAACTGACCGTACAGTTCGGACTATAGTTATAAAATTAACAGAATTATAAAACTATGTACTGTACAGTTTGAATTGCCTGAAAAGAAGAATCGCTGTTCGAGTAACTCATAACTATTTAATTCAGAGAGCGACCTCGATGCCGAAGAAAATATGATTATTTATTAGCGTGCATTATATCGTTACGAACGACTTGGTATCACCGCGTTACAATATTACTATTCTGCAAGCACGTGTCAGGGTCACCTTTCACGAACCTTTGCTACACGTGTAGCCGGGCTATGCGCTCAAAATAATTTTTTCCCGAAGATTACGAAGATCTTCTGCATTCTTTGCATGTCTCACCGCTCCACGTGCAGTCCATCCCGTTACAATCTTCGAATTTTGTTTCAATTCATATAACTATGTATATATATATATATATATATATATATATATATATTTTCTTTTTTGAAAAATGATTCTCTAATTCTGATTCTTTTCTTCACTTCTTTCTCCTTTATTTGATAGAAACTGGTAATTGTAATCTAATGTTCGTTTCTTTATCCACCTTTGTCGCAGAACTGAAAAATATTGTTAATAAATGAAAATGAGTGAAAAATGGAAACAAGTAGGGAGGAAACTTTGTTGAAATTAACGAGAAGAGTAATCGTACTGGAATTGAATGCACCGATAGACGTTTTGTTATTAATCGAGTATGAACGAGGTAATGTTGCGTAATATAAATATACATACGTGCGTATCGAGCGCATGCCAGTTCTTTTTTCGTTTGCAGTTATTCACGACTTATCCCCACGCACTGGCCAACGAATTATTTGTCTTCCTGATCAGAAATAACGAAATCCTGTCTTGTACTACTTCGCGTCTTGCTCGTTTTCTGGATCTACTGCAGTCGCTGCGCGTAAATCGTCACGCCAGGAAACTGTTGCTGCTCTCTTTCGGTCATTATATATTTTCAAAGTAAAACGTATCAGTATATTAACAGATTAAAAAATTTTAACGTTTTAACCAATATTCAGGTGAATGAAACACTACTGCATTGCTAGAAATGGTATTTCAATGTTTCAAAATTCTTCGCATCAAATTGCCAAATTTTGCATTTTGCATCGAACGATCTCACGTTATTGGGAAATGCAATCGTTTAAACGACGCGTAGCAAGGTCAAAGGGATACGAAACTTTTCCAGTAACCGTTGGTCAAGCGTGAAACCACCGTTCCGGCGGGAGGAGATTCGAGAAAAAGAAAAAAGAAAGAAAAAAGAAATAAGCGAAGAAGTGGCTAAGGCACGAGAGATCTGTCAACTGCAAACCGTCGTACTTATTCTATGAAGGAGTCTGAATTCTTTGCAATTTAATCGGTCGCCTAAGCATGAAAACACGCGGGCAGGTTAACCACGCTGGGCTCCATTCCCGGATAAATTTCCTAAGGGGCGGTGGGACCGAGGCAGATGATGATGTCCCGTAATAATCGTCGATACACGCGAAATCCGAAAATTTCTTGGCAAGGCAGATGGCGTGGCCTTTCGCGGAAGCGGGCGTTCTCGCTTCTTAAACGCCGACATCACCGTTTTTCGTTTCTGCGTGTCTCAGGGGCGTACCTACCCCGCGGGCTCTTTCTCCATATACCTGCTTCTCGTTTCCCCTTTCTCCTTTTTTTCTCCCATACTTTTTCCTTTTGTTTCCTCTTTTTCCCCGTCTCATCTTCTGCCCTTTTAATTTTTTCTCGTCCCTGTCTATCTCTCCGTCCTTCCTCTTTTTCCCCTTTTTTGTTACCTTCACTTTCATCTTGCTCTCTACCCTTTTTCCTAGTAATTCCCTTTCTTCCTTCCTGGGTTGGTTTGTTTCAACATTTCTTTTCGTTCCAACAGTTTGTACAATTTGGAAACACACGATCGAAGTACTGTCGTTAAAAGATCAATTAGATTCTCGGACTAAAACCAAGTCGGACCGTGTCCAAAGTAGGCCAAAAGATGTAACAGGATTCGATTCTCCCTCCAGCCACCTTCCAACACACCAAGATCATCCTTGTTATTCTAACGTTCTCTTTGCTCTGTCAGTCAAAGGTCCGTTCGCCCTTCTTCCCTGACACCATCGGCTTCTGTCCTCGATCCGCACGCATTTTTCTACTCCCCACTCGGAGCCAATTCCGCGCGGAGAACGTTGCTTGCTCGGTCCCGCCTTTGTCTTCGGGCAGCGATCCTTCGTGAATTTCATAGTCAGCTGCACGAAATCGAGCCCCGCGGCCTCCCGTTTACTTTTTCTAGTATGGCCCGTCTCTATTTTTAACCCGCCGAAAAGAAGATCGAGCCACGCTACCAGACGCGTGCACGAGCGCCATTCGCGACGATCGCGCGCCCACCTCGATCTCTCGGCCCTTGGCGACATTTTTCTCGCGAA